ATTATGGTTTTATAATGTGCAGTGTGTTCAAATTGTTTTGTTTTCAATTTATTTCATTAAGCTACATTTGATTCAGAAAGGCGGATTATAACTCATTAGATCAAGATGCATGAGAATCACATCTCAAGTAATGTGATGCATTCCATGATATTTATAGCTTATTTTTATTTGGCTCCTCTTTAACTATAAAATTCATGATCTTATTCTTTCTTTTACAGTGATTTGTTTCACATTTCTTATGTGCAGTTATTTCACATTTCTAATGTGTGCACGAATTGTATCTATGAATTTGCTAACTCCAAATAGTTGGGATAAGGCTCGGATGATGATGATGATGTCGATGAATTATAGCTTCTATTTTGTGAAATTCTTTGATATCTTTATGTAATTGAACTGCTTCTGAACTTATAAGCTCCCAAGTACCACTAATAGTTGCCATATGGTATTGGATTCAAGAGTCCTTACCTTCCTTTATGTAATCTCAATTTGGTAGTCCAAGTATTTATCAATTTTGTATATCCTGCAGGCAAGCATTTGCTTCATTGTCTTGTTACAAAGTTATCTTCTTCATTTATTGGATCTGAAGTGTGTTGCTGACGTACTGAACTTTTACTAAATTTTTGTTCTGCATTTGAATTTAGATTGTAAAATTTCAAACCAGCTTGCATGGTGCTTAATTTGATGGTGTCTAAGCAAGGGTGTCTTTGGCATTTCATGTTTTTATACTCAGTTTCCATTGGGGTTTGATATTGTTATCATATTTTTTCTTGTTACACATTACCACTTGGTTTATAATCTATGTATACGACTTCTTGCTATAGGGAATTTGATCTTTTTTGTAAATTTTTAATGTTTAGTAACCTATGTGCATTCACGTGTTTTGTATATGTAGAGGGAGGAATTGTCTCCTGTCCTTACTTACATTCAACCCCTATTTGTCAGCCTTATAGAGTCATGTTTTATTTTTTTTCTACTGATTCTTAGAATGAATTGTTTGATTGTCAGCCTTATAGAGTCATGTTTTATAATTGTTCTACTGATTCTTAAAATGATTTGTTTGATATTAGCTGAAGGGAAAGGAAGGGTGTTTTGTGGCCTTTCTAGGACGGTCCAGAGATTCAATTATGGTTCCAGTGAAATTTCATATGGCTTTGGAAGCAATGGGAAACATTGGCATTCCTCCCAAAGCTGTAACACCTGTCCTTAAAAATCTCTTGAAGTTTTATGATGATAATTGGGTGCTTATGAAAGAAGAAAATTATAGAGTTCTTGCAGATGCTATCTTTGTAGCACAGGAGACCAAGGTGCAAATTCAATTAACATTCTTAATTACTTTTCCAGTCTGACTTCCATTTTTTCTTTGGTTGATTCCCATTTGATCACAAAAATGACATTTGGGATAAAGAATTTTTGGAATGACCAATCAATAGTGATATGTTTCTTTATTAACTTGCTGATTTTTTTAAGCAGAAGCAAGAAAGAAAGAGGAAAGCTGAGAAAATTGATGTATGTCAGCCATCCTTGCCTTACGACTGTTTGCTTCACTTTTTATCTTGAGAACTCTTTTATCTCTGTTTCCTTTTATTTATGTGTTTTGGTATTTATCCTTTGATCAGAGAGAAGATGATAGGAACAAGGAAATTGAGAGAGATGAGACAATGCCTACACCACGTACACGTTCTCGCTTGAGGATAGAAGAGCCATCTTCACCATTCCTGAGAACTGAAGAGCCTGTTGCTTCACCCTTGAGATTAGAAAAGCCTCCGGCAGCATGCACAACTCATTCTGGTTTTGGAGTTGGTGAAAGCTCTTCAAAAGAACCTAAACGTGTACCATCTGCTTGCCCTGCAAGTGGTGAGGACATGGAAACTAATAAAATCTGAGGAGCCTGATTTGCCGTGTACTAATTTGGGGCAAGAAAAGGCAGCAAATGAGGCAGTTCCTAGCACCAAAAGGTGCTTAAAAATGCCTAAGATTGAACCAGGCATTGAACCCTTACCTGATGCGTCTAACGCAAGGGAACCTTACGATGATGGTTCCCCCCCATTGGATAAGAGGTCTCCTGCAAAACCAAAGTCTCCTTGTGATAGGTATATGCATATTGAGAAACCAAAGGATCGTGTTGATCATGACAATATGCCTAATCATCACAGTAAGAGTCCATGCCAGCTGAACACTGAGGGATTGCCTAGTTGTTTCCAGCAAGTGGAGTTTGAGGTTCCTATTGCAGGGATCCCACCACTGTTCTCTAATGTATCTGATGGTACCCACTGTGTGAAATCTTTCTTTTTTTCTATTGCCGGATTTGTTGTTTGCAGACTTGAAACTCAACCTTGATATTGCAAGGTTGATTGACATGGTCATTGGTTTCACCAAGTAATGTAAGGCATGATTTAGAAATACAAAATAGCTTAATCTAAAAACTGAAAATGTAGCAAATAAGAAAATGAGGAAGAGAGAAATATTCTGGGAAAGAGGAAAGGTATT